CTTCCTTCCTTCCTTCCTTCCTTCCTTCCTTCCTTCCTTCCTTCCTTTATTTCTGTATGCATGTGTATATGTGTATTTTTGTATGCATGCATGCATGTTGCCTCTGTGTATCTGTATGTCTCTCTGTGTGTGCATGTGTTTACATATGCATGGTGAGTGTAGGTGTTCACATATAGAGATCAGAGGACCACTTCATGGAGTCACTCCCCTCCCTCCACCTTTATGTGATTTCCAGGACTGAGCTCAGGGCATCAAGCTGTACATCAAGCTGTTTACCTGCTGAGTTGCTCTCTCTGGCTCTGTAATGGGATTAATGATGGTTTGAATGACTGCTGTAGAAACATGTCTGCGCAGGCTCTGGATGCTGTGTTTTCAGGGAAGCAGGAGTCAGGGATCTGCAGAGACTATAATTGCCTTCAAGTCCTCATGGTTAATGTTTCCTGTGTCCACACAGATACGAATATGAAACAACGATTTCATCTTCAAGCAACTTGTCCTCAAACAGCTTCTTGTGTTCAGGAAACAGAAGTCAGACCTTACTGCCAACTCATGATCCATCAGGTGGACTAGTGCTTCTTATTGATTTCTGCTCAGGGACAGGGCCACAGAACACTTTTATGAAAGGCTTTGAATGTGACACTGGATTTAGTAGGCACCTAAGACAAGGGAACAAACCATATTTCTCTCTTCAGGGAAGGGAGTTGTCTATAATAACACAGAACACTCTGCGTCCTGAGTTTGAATATACTTATTAAGACTCCTCTGCTTTTTTAAAAATTTATTTATTTATTTATTCATTTATTTATAAAAAATTTTCACTTCCTCCCCTCCTCCCAATACCCTCCCATTCCCCCCACTCTCTCTCCTCCTCCTTCTCCAGTCCCAAGAGCAGTCAGGGCTTCCTACTTCCCGTGGGAAGTCCAAGATCAGACTCCTCTGCTTTTTAAAGTGGCATTTAGACACAAGATTTGATCTCTATGGTGGGTCTAGTTTGGTTTTCTGTTGTTGTAATAAAACATGGACTAAAAGGAGTTTTTCTAGCTTACAAACTGTAGCCCACCATGATTGAAGCAAAGGCAGGAACTTGGAGAGAGAGAGAGAGAGAGAGAGAGAGAGAGAGAGAGAGAGAGAGAGCGAGCAAAGTAGAGAGCACCAATGAGTCTTGTATACTGGCTTGTTCAGATATGTCTCTTATACAGCCTAAGCCAATCTGCCCAGGCCTGGTACTGCCCACAGTACTGTTTGCCATATTTCATGAATTATCAAAGAAGGAAATGTCTCATAAACGTTTTCACAGGCCAGTCTGATGAAGGCAGTTCCTCAACTGAGATTCCTTCTCTGGTATGTCTAAATTTGTGTAATATTGACAAAATCTAGCCATCACAGTGATGCAAATAGGAAATGTAGTCAGAAAGAAGCTTCCTCCAGTCATGGCTGTGCGTCAGATACACCATGGGAAAGCAGGTGTCTATGTCACAGTTCAGAATTCCTGGGTTAACTGGAATGTGTCTTTCAGTCTCCATTTCCCTCTTTAACACAGACATTACTTTACATTTCAACCACACAGTGGTTCCCTTACTTCCTATGGGCTCATGCACTGTGGTCCTGAATCCTGTCCTTCATATGCTGTATTAGTAACTTTCCCATCACTGTGATCAAAATCCCAAACATCTCAAGGGAGGAAAGGTTTGTTTTCACTCACTGTTTTCCATTTCAGCCCATGATCACTTTACCCCATGTTTATGGTGACATGAGTGTTGGCTGATGCTCTTCTTCATTTCCTGGTGTGATGGGGAATGGAAAACAAAATAGAGGAAGTGGTGGGATATAGTCTCTGTGGACATGCCACCCTGATAACCAGCTTCCTCCAATTAGGGTCACCTCTTACCTTTCATTACTTTGCAATAGTGCCTGTCTCATGACCCCATCAGATTAGTCCATTGATGGTTATGTCAGAGTCATAGTGACCTGTCTTTGTATATGCCTCAGAGACACAGTCAGATATTGTGTAAAAGTACTCACTGTATGTCCTTGTTGCTTTTCTTTGTTTTTGATGGAGCACCATGACCAAGGGAACTTATACAAGGAAGAATTTATTGGTGATTATGGTTATAGCGCAGTGGTTCTCACCCCTACTGATGCTTTGACTCTTTAGTAATATTCCTCGTGTTGTTATGGCCCCCAACTATAAATTATTTTCATTGCTACTTCATAACTGTATTTTTTCAAATGTCTTAAATTATAGCATTTATCTATGTTTTTAGATGGTTTTAGGTGACTTCTGTAAAAGGGTTATTATCCTCAAAGGAGTCATGACCCATAGGTTGAGAACCACTGTTCTGGAGGGATGAGAATCAATCAGGGCAGGAAGAATGGCAGCAGGAGTAGGAAATTAGAAGCCCCCATCTCAACTCTAAGCACAAGGCAGAGAATGCAAACTGGGGTAGAGGGTGAGGCTTTGAGCTCTTGAAACTCATCTTTAGTAACATTCTTCCTCCACCTTCCCAAACACCACCAACAACTGGAGACTACGTGTTTCATACCACAGCCTTTGGGGACATTTCAGTTCAGAGCACCACACCATTCCTACAGAGAGCCTGATTGGTTCCCAGCACTAACATCAGTTTTATACAATCCCTGTCAATTCAATTCTGGGGAATTGGGTGACCTCTTCTAGTCGTCTTAGATACCTGTACACACAAGGTGCAATATGATCATATGTGTCTGTACACACATTTACATAAACTTTTAAAAATTATTTTTAGAGTCACATATGCCAAAGAACCTAACACATCTTCTGAACATTCAGTCTGGGACTGTGTCAGCATGATCACCTCAGGCCAGAAATGCTCCATTTTATGCTAGATCCATGCCACAGAATTTTCAGCAGTTTCCAAGGTTTAGATTGTCACTGTTCTCAGAGAGTCTGTAGAATAAAATAAGAGAGTCAAAGAGCAGCCATCTCTGAAGCTCTGATCCACAGAAATCTTCTAAGCAAACACCATGAAGCAGTGACCTCCATGCTAGCCTGTTCTCACTTCCTGAACTGACCTTTGGAAATCCACCCCTTGTGCTCCTTGCATATTGGTGGATAAGTTAAAAATTTCCTCATTTACAGAGCACCTGGAAAGTACTTGAGTCTTCCAGTATCTGATGCTTTCACTTCTGCCCTAGAAAAGGGTCGAGAGTCTCCTTGTGATCTGTAGACAGAAATCATCATGCTTATCAAAGATAAGGATCTGAATACATAGAGATGAAAACTGATTTTACTTTAATCAGACATAAGTAAGAGTTAGACCTCATGATCCTGTTGTGTTTAGGACATTTATGGGCAGTCCCTGACCTGTCTGCAGCTCAGAGTACATTGTCCTTCACTTCCCTGAAAACACAATGCCAAGTGTCCCTAGGGAGTGCAAGTTCATTTAGCTTAGAACAAACTCGGAAGGTGTGTGCAAACCTTCAAAGATTTCTCCTTTTGCCTTTCAAGTCCAGTTGGCCTAGTTTGAGTTATTCTACTGATTATCTGCTACTTGATTCATTGGAGTATTTGATTGATAGCAAAAGATGGAATCTCTCAAAATATGATTAATACTCAGTTAAAATATTTAGTTGCTACAAGGTAATTCAACTTCCATCAGTCTTCTCTGTGTTGTGACAGTACAGCATCAATTGTCAGAGACATATGGACCTGCGTGCTTTGCTTTCCTTCTTCAAAGCTGTGGAGAAATGAGGCAGTACACACATGAACTTACTGGGTCCATTGATTTGTGGAAAACTGAGTCCCTGATGCGAAGGAAAGTCCTAATTCTTTCTCTTTTCCTATTTCTTTAGTGTAAATTCTCACAACCAACGTGTTGTCACTAAACACTGAATTGGGAAGAGGTATTTATCTGTAGAGTCATCTTTCCACACAAGTGGAAAATGTTTCCAGCATAGCACTTATACTCTATTGTTAAGTAGTCTTTCAAAGTAAGTAGTAGAGGTGACTTACAGATTCAGACAGCATAGTAAGCAAGGGGAATCACTGACTGGTCACCTGGGCTTGTGACCTGAGAAAGGCTTACAGAAATTTTTGAATTAATTGTCAGTACCACTTGACTGTTAAAATATTCACTAATTTTCTCTTGTTTTCATGCAGAGTGTGTGAAAGAAATTAAATCACTAATGTGGATATATGTAGTAGTGGGAAATATTATCCGTGGAATTGGTGAAACTCCCATCATGCCCTTGGGTATTTCCTACATAGAAGATTTTGCCAAATCTGAAAACTCCCCTTTATATATTGGTAAGTGCCTTAGTTAGGATTTCTATTGCTGTGATGGGACACCAAGAACATGACAACTCTTTTAAAAGAAAAACATTTTCAGAGGTTTAGTCCATCATCATCATGTTGGTGTGCAGGCAGACATGGTGCCATATCCCTTCTGTCTCTAGTCCCTAGTGGCAGGATTAAAGGCATGTGGCTCCCAACTACTGGGATTAAAGGTGTGAGCCACAACCGCTTGACTCTCTTTCTCTTCTAGACTCAATCTTGTATAACCCAGGGTAGCCTTGAATTCACAGAGATCCACCTGCCTCTGCCTCCCAAGTACTGTGATTAAGGGTGTCTATCAACACTGCCTGGCCTCTATGGCTAACTAATGTGGCTAATTCTACTCTGATCTCCAGGCCAGCTTTATTTGTTAAAGCACAAACAAATCACCACAATCCATGCTGCCACAGACTGTACTGGGTAAGAAAGCTTCTTTTGCAGTGATGTTGATGGCTGCAGACTCACTGTTGAGAATGAGATACATAGAAGACTTCTGCCACAGTCTCTTTTCCCTAGAACTACCCTTCCCCCAAAAGAAGAGAAACAGTCTGGAGAGGAAGCCATTGAAGAGGACTCTTAAAATTTGTGATAGGGATCCTGAAGTGTAGCTCTTCAGTCAATGGGTTCTGACAGGAATAGGGGTAATGGTTGTCCTCCTGATGATGTGAAGATCCAAATCCATGCCCTGTCTCGGTAGAGTTCCATCAGAATCCATTGGTGCCCCCGCAAAACAAGTCTGTCACACATGAACTTCTGGGAAACATTCTATATTGAAACAATGGGAGCTTCCTTCCTAATATTACAGAAACCAGTGCATGTACATGCAACACATATATGTGCATGTAACAACTATATAGGTATAAGATACAGCCCAAGATTAATTTTTATATGTTTAATATAAAAGTATTTGAGGTAGTGGGAGAATGTAACTCACATGTAGAACACTTGCTTAGACTATTGGATTTACTATTCAGCTCTGTAAAGGAAGAAAAAGAAATCTAATATTAGAAACAATTCAATCTTAAGGCTTTTTTGTGTAAACAAATTTTTGTGTGGTCATGTAACTTCCTGTCTTTGTTTACTTCCAGGGATTTTAGAAACAGGAATGATCATCGGTCCTTTGATTGGACTTATGTTGGGATCCTTCTGTGCAAAACTTTATGTAGACACTGGGTCTGTGAATACAGGTAACACAATACATTCTATTTATACAGCCCATTCGCTAGAATGCAAAAGAATGTTCCAGATTGCTACACACTGCTTCCTTTGATCTTCAGTTAGGCCAATTATCACCACTTGTAGACTTAAGAGGAGTGGGAAAAGGATAAAATGTCACCTTTTGAACAAAAGTTTACTATTCTCCTACCACCCTGCAGCTGTATGTTTGGTCTCAGAATATTTCCTCACATAGGTTTTCCTCATTAAGGCGTTCACTGTGGCTAATAAAACAGATCTTTCTGTTATGTGAAAAGCACCAGTTTATAAAGTTTTACAAGACAGACAGAAGTACTCATTTACTGCTGGAAAATATACCACCTACACTGCTAAATAAAAATCAGTTAATAATTTTAAAGCACTTACAAACCATAAAAGAAGTGTGATGTTTTATTTTATTATCTTTTTGTGCATTGTGTGACTGTGTGTGTGTGTGTGTGTGTGTGTGTGTGTGTGTATGCACTGTGTGTAGGTGCCTGCTGAGGGCAGAAGAGGGTTTCACATTTCCTGAAATCAGAGTTATAAGCAATAGTGAGTTTATATATATGTGTATGACTGTGTGTATGTATGCACTGTGTGTGGGTGCCTGCTGAGGGGTTCAGAAGAGGGGTTCAGCTGACCTGAAATCAGAGTTACAGGTAGTAGTGAGACCCCATGTGGGTGGTAGGAATAGAACTCAGGACCTCTGCAAGAGCAGCAATAACTTTTAGCCACTGAACTGTTTCTCCAGCCCAACTTCCTCACCCACTGTAAAGTTCTGAGATAGGAATACACCAGGCTAATGCTGATATCTTAAATATGCCTCATATATTTTTCTATCTTTTTAAAATGAAGTTTTAGCTATTATGTCATGTAGCAATCCAGAACTTTTTCTTCTTACTTAATTTCAACGTCACCCAATTGATCAACCTCAGACACTATTTCTAAAGGTCTGAATTCTCCCAGGGGGTAGCAGATGCCTGTAATCCCAACATTTAGGATGCAGAGGCAGAGGATGACAAGCTCAAGGCCCAAATAAGAGAAATAACTAAGGTGTGATGGCTTTACAAATGTTATGAAATTTTGTGTTTAGATGGATTTTAATCCTTAATAATTTTCTACAGTTTACCCAGGAAAGAATGATGCAAGCTAACAAAATATCTGTATTTCTCCACAGATGACCTGACCATAACTCCCGCTGATACACGCTGGGTCGGTGCTTGGTGGGTCGGCTTTTTGATCTGTGCAGGAGTGAATATCCTGACCAGCATTCCCTTTTTCTTTTTCCCCAAAACACTCCCAAAGGAAGGACTAGAGGATAATGCAGATGTGGCTAAAAGCGACAAAGAAGAGAAACACCAAGAAAAAGCCAAGGAGGAAAAACGTGGAATCACTAAAGGCAAACAGGAAAACCTTAACCCCTGTGTTTGGTTTAGATGGGTCTGCAGGTAGTGGAGCATGTGTCTGCTGTGCTGAGTTAAGATGGTTTGTCACTAAGGCCCCTACTCAGATGCCTTAAACTTCTTCCCAAGTTACTGCTTGGATTACAACTCACATAATTTGTAAACGACGCATCTTAGATTAGACTTTATGAAAAATTCATCAATCTGGACACTCAATGAGCAAATAGAATTTTGCCTTCTGTTTTGAAAAGTCTATCTTACACAAAATATTAGTTCCAGTTAAAAGACATAAATAACCAGAAATTCAGCCTAAACATAATGGGAGAGAAATACCTCTACTAAGGTAACAGTGTAGATTGATAAGAAAAATGTCAGTTTAGCTGTGAGCATGCTTGAAGTTAATGTTGGAGGAGAAATCCTGAGAGGTGGTATAATCCTCTGTATTTGAAGGTGTGATAGTTTACAGGAGAACTGTTCCCTAAGGAGCAGACCGCTGTAAAACAAGCAGGAATGTTATCAACCTCTGGTGAAGAGCAGTGGTGCATCTGTGAGAAGCTGAGTGGTGAAGACTGCCCATGCCTGAACCTTGGCACTAATTTCTCAGCTGTGTGATTGATGGATAACCTGTAGTATTCTCAAGAGAGTTGGCTTAGTGCAAGAGGTTAATGGTACATTATATTCTTGGGTTTCTGGGCTGTTCTGGTGCAGACTACTGTGGGGAGCACTTTTATTGTCGACATTGCTATTTCATTTGTTACTCATAACATCTATGATGTTATGATGGGCAATGAACAACTGCACATTTACCTTAAGCTCTATGGACCACAGCTGAAGAGCCAGTTCAGAGGCTTGAACAGTCTCAGAATCATAATCATATTAATGATTCTCTTGAGAGCACTAATACTGATTATTTTTGTACCACTGTGTAGTCCGCCAGATCAATATAACTATTTTCTTAAATGAAGTTTTTATTTTCGGTATATCCTGACCACAGTTTTCCCTTCCTCCCTTCCTCCAGTGCCCCCTTCTCCCAGAAGTTCTCTGTTTCCCTTCAGAAAGCAATCAGGCCTCCCTGGGATAGCCACTAAACATGGCATAACAAGATACAATGAGACTAGGCACAAACCTACACATCAAAGCTTCCCGAGACAACCCAGGAAGAAACAGTTCATGAGAGCAGACCAAAGAGTCATAGACACACGCTCTCCCACTGTTAGGGGTCACACAAAAACACCAAGTGAACAGCCATAACATATATGCAGATGACCTAGAGCAGACCCATGCATGCTCTGTGATTGCTGCTTCCGTCACTGTGAGCCCCTATGAACCCTACTTAATGACATCTGTGGGCTGTACTCTCCTGGTGTCCTTGACCTTTTTGTCTCTTACATTTCTTTCTCCCCCTCTTCTGTGAGCTTCCCAAAGCTCCAAGGGGAAGGACCCAATGGAGATTTTCATTCTGGGGCTTTGTGTTTGCTCCCATCAGCTGCTGGTGGGAAGCCTCTTTGATGATGATTTGGCTAGGCACAGATTTATGAGCATATAAGAATAACATTAGCAAACATTTTGTTGATTTTTTTTCTATCATAAATCTTTGGGAATCCAGCTTCCAATTCCTAGTCATCCAGGCTATATTGAGCACGGGCTCCCATTAGTGATGTGGATCTCAAATCAGATTAGTCATTGGGTGATGATTCTAGAAGATTCTGTTCTAGTGTCTTACCCCATCGTTCAGGTGGGATAGATGAAAGGTGAAGGGTCTGTGACTGGGTTGTCTGAGTTCCACCTCTGGAAATCTTGCCTGTTTACAGAGGATACCTGGTTCGTACTCTGAATCCTCCTTTACTAGGAGTCTTCACTAGAATCACCTTCTTATAATTCTGAAAGTTTCTAATGGACTCTGTTTCCTCATCACTCAACCAAATGACCTCCAATTCCAGCTATTTCTCCCATATGCTCTCCTTCTATTATCACCTCTCACCTGACCCCTCCTGTTCCTATTATTACTCACCCTTTTAAGGGGTGGACACTTGTCTATTCCCAGCTGCCCAGATCTGAAATAACCTAACAGAAACTGCATTAATTATAATACTGTTTGGCCTATTAGTTTATGCATATTTCTAGATAGCTCTCACATCTTAAGTTAACCCATTTCTGTTAATCTGTGTATCACCATGTGGTTGTGGTCTATTGGCATCTGGCATCTGTCTCCTGTGGTGGCTACATGACTTCTCCCTGATTCTGCCTACTCTCTCTATATATCTTTTCCAGCCTGTCTATATTCTAAATCATTGACTGAAATCAGTTTCTTTATTATCCAGTGGCAATAAAACATAATCATAGCATGCAGAGGGGAATACCACATCACCTCCCCTTTTCTGTCTAAATGAAAAGAAGCCATGTAGCTGCCACAGGAGACAGACATACTGGAACCTTGCCATAGTCAAATATAAAATAATAGAAATGGGTTAATTTAAAATGTAAGAGCTAGATAGAAATATATGTAAGAACTGGGCAAACAGTATTGCAAATAATATAGTTTTTGTGTGATTATTTCAGGTCAGGGTAGCTGGGAATGAACAAGCAGCCTCCAACAACACACCCCAGTCTACTTGCAAAATTGATTCTATTTTCCTTTCCCAAGGAGGTTCACTAATCCCCACTAGAGTCCCTTGTTACTTAGCCTTTCTGTGTCTGTAGATTGTAGCATGATTAGAATTGACTCAACAGCTAATGTCAACTTATAAGTGACTACATGCCATGTTTGTATTTCTAAGTCTGGACTACCTCACTCAGGATGAATTTTTTCTAGTTCCATGCATTTTCCTTCAAATTTCATGATGTTTTTAAAACAGGTGAGTAATATTTCAATGTGTAAATGTTCTGCATCTTCTTTACTCATTCTTTGATTGAGAGACATCTAAGTTGTTTCCAGTTTCTGTCTGTTATGAATAAAGCTGCTTCTGTTTTTAGAGCTTTCATGTGTACTGTTAAGTTGCTAGTATGAGATCTTGCCCATTTCTTTTTGCAGCCACTTAATGCTATATAATTTCGTCTTACTACTACTTTCATTGTGTCCCATAAGTTTGGGGTATGTTGTACACCCATTTTCATTGACTCAAGGAAGCCTTTAATTTCTTTTTTTTCTGTCTTGGCCCAGTAAGTAGTCATTCAGTAGAGAGTTGTTAAGTTTCCATGAGTTTATAGAATTTCTCTTATTTCTGCTGTTGTTGAAATCCAGTCTTAATCCATGGTGGTTTGATAGGGAAGCTGGAGTTTTTTCAACTTTCTTGTATCTGTTGAGACTTCTTTGGTGGCTAAATATGTGATCAACTTTAGAGAAAATTCTATGAAGTGCTGAGAAGGTTTATTATTCGTGTTTGGCTGAAATGTTCTGTAGGTATCTGTTACATCTATTTAGTTCATAAATATCTTTAGGTGCCAGTATTTCTCTGTTTATCTTTTGCCTGAATGACCTCTCTTTTGGTTAGAATAGGGTATTGAAGTCTTCCATTATCAATGTGTGAAGGCCAATGTGTACTTTTAACTTTAGCAGTGTTTCTTTTACAAACATTGGTTGCCCTTGCATTCAGAGCATAGATTTTGAGAACTGAAAGATCATCTTGGTGAATTTTTCCTTTGAGGAGTATAAAGTGTCATTTCCCATCTATCTTGATTAATTTCTTTTTGAATCCTGTTTTGCTAAATAGTTGAATGGCTATACCAGCTTGTTTCTTAGGTTCATTTGCTTGAAAAATCTTTCCCAGCCCTTTACTAAGATAATATCTATCTTTGATGTTATGTTTCTTGCATACAACAGAGGTTGGATCATTCTGTTAGTCTGTGTTTTTTTTTACTGCGGGGTTGAGTCTGTTGATATTGAGAGATATCAAAGACAAATTATTGTTAGGTTGTTGATGATGGTGGTGGTGATGGTATGTGTTTCCTTTCTTTTGGTTTTGCTTGTGTGAGATGATTTATTTCCTGTGCTTTCATGGCTGTAGTTAATCTTCTTGGGTTGGAGTTTTCCTTCTAGTACCTTCTGCAGAGCTGGATTTGTGGATAAATATTGTTTAAAGTTGACTCCATTTTGCTTTCTCCTTCTATGGTGATTTAAACTTTTGCTGAGTAGTCTTGGCTGGAATCTGTTGCATCCGAGTCTACAATACATCTCTCCAACCCTTCTGGCTTTTGGAGTCTCTATTGTAAAGTTAGGTAAAATTCTAATAAGTCTGCCTTTATATGTTACTTTACTAGATCTTTTATCCTTCCAGCTTTTAATATTCTTTCTTTGCTCTGAATGTTTAGCATTTTGATGATGTAGGAGGGTCATCTGTCTATGTGTTACTTTCATTGGTTAATAAAGAAACTGCCTTGGCTTTTTATAGGACAGCAGCTTAGATAGGCAGAGTAGGCAGAACAGGATACTGGGAGGAAGAAGCAGAGTTAGGCAGACACCATGGCTCTCCTCTTCAAGATGGACATGGGTTAGAATCTTCCCAGTAAGCCACGACCTCATGGTGCTACACACATTATTAGAAATGGGTTAATTAATATGTGAGAGTTAGCCAATAAGGGGTTGGAGACAATGGGCCAGGCAGTGTTTAAATGAATACAGTTTCCGTGTAATTATTTTGGCTGTAAACTAGCCGGGGAGCCAGGATGCCAGCAGGAACACAGCCCATCACTTTCTTTTACAACATTTTGATTATTATGTGTTAAGGCAACTTTCTTTTCTGGTCCAACTTATTTGGTGTTCTGTAAACTTCTTTTACACATTTCCTTTTTTAGGTTAGGAAAATTTTCTTCTATGATTTTGTTGAAAATATTTTCTGAGCCTTTGAGCTTGGATTCTTCTTTTTCCATTCCCATTATTCTTAGGTTTGGTCCTTTCATAGTATCCCAGACTTCCTGGATGTTTTGTGTTAGGAATTTTTTTTTAAAGAATTACCATGCTCTTTAACCAATGTATCTATTTCTTTTATCATATTTCCAACACCTGAGATTCTCTCTTCCATCTCTTGTATTCCATTGGTAATGCTTGCATCTGTAGTTCCTGTTTACTTATCTAACAAGAACCTTGGGGTCCAGTCCCAAGACTCTCTTCAGGTTCAGAATGGATGTAACAGCACATAAAAAGGACTTTACCCGAGGGCAAACTCTCTCGCATGTGCTTGTCTGAATTAGCCTCTTTAGTGTTCTGCAAAATTTCCAGATTATATACACACACAATCAGCAATTCTCTGGCAATATCAAGGTTATAAGGCTTGGATTTTTCATGGTCACAAAGCAGAAAAGAGCTGCACAAAGCAGCAACTGTCAGTTTACTTTATGGCTCTAGGGAGCCATGCCTTGTAAAATGCCCCAGCAAGTCTAAGAGGCAAAAGGATCAATTATGAGCTTCAAATACTAAGAAGGGAAAAGGAGAGCTTGTGAGCTACACTACATTCCTAAGCGTGACTAATTAAGCTAGAAGTTTGTAATCAGTGAATGTAAAACAGGGAAAAATGCAGTGATGCTGTCTCTCTCCTAGTTCTTTCTCAGCTCGCCAGAACTGTAGCTGTGGGAACAGCATTAGGGTAGCCATGGCAACTGGAGTAAACTTCAGAAATAGAAGTGTGGTACCTGATTCACATTAGCATTTTTTGCCAAATATTAGCTGGATAAAGGGGGTCTCTTTGATCTAAGAATTGCATCTTTTGCCCTAAGTAGTTAGAACAAAAGGGGACCTATAGTTATATAGCACAAAATCCAGAGACTGACACTTTCCAGCTGCCCTGGCCAATTGGCAGTTTTTGTTCCCACGGCACCTGTGTGAAAAGGATTACCTTTTTCGGGAGTGGGTCAAGTGATCAACAACTTTTTCCTGTTATCTCTTAGGGTTAAAACACAAACAATTTCCTAAACTAAAATCTTGTATCAATAAACCAAAGTGAAAGTAAGCAAAGAGTTAATAGCCTGTTAAGGTTAGAGTGGGGTTAACTGGGGTTGTACTTTCTCATATCAGTTGAGGGTGAATCCAGGGCATTTGGTTCTTATCTGTGAGGGCTAGGAATCGACAGACCCAAACATGCCATAATTTCATCCTAAGGTCTATATGCAAAGGTCCCATTGTGATCTTTTTTCAAGACTCTTTTCCTGCCCAAATGTCCTGTCATAAAAGATGATTGTGGGGAACTGGATTCTAAGTTTATATCAGGGAATGGAGCAGAGATTTGACTATAAGAACAAAGGAGATGACTGTGTGACTTACTTTCACAGTAGGGTCCCACAGTGTGAGGAAAAATCACCCAATATACCAGTACATGGGAGAAATTGTGCCTAATAATTGATTAATTCACTGCTGAGGTTTTGGAATGAGTCCCCACAGCAAGAACAGCTGTTATTCAAAAGGCCTTGTATCTGAGCTTGTCTCCAACAGAATGCATTATTTCTGATGGGCTGGCCTTCTAAAGTGTCAGCTGAAATTTCACTGCATAATCCTTTAGACTATAGCCTACATTTTTCACTTCAAGAACTCCCCCTGTTTGTGTCTTCTTTATTGTTTCTATTTCCATCTTGGATCATTTTCTTTAGCTGTTTCTGCCACCCCTGGCTTTCCTTAAGGGACTTATTCACATCCTTTAAGTTTTGATTTTCTCTTCTTGATTTCCTTAAGGGATCTATTTCCCCTAAGGACCTCAATCATCTTCATAAAGTTGCTTTTAACATCGGTTTTCTCAGCTTCTGCTTCATTGAAATATTTGAGGCTTGCTGTATTAGGATAGCTGGTCTCTGGTGATGATATATTTAATTGGCTGTTTTTTTTTTCTTATTTCTTATTCTGGCAGCTAGGCATCTAGGTTTGGGTAATTACGAGTATAAGTGATGATTTTGAAGTTTATCTTTGTTGAATGGGTTTTTATTTCTCGGTTTAAGTTTACTCTTTTGTCTTCTGGTCAGTGGGACCTGTGGTTGTGGGGGGATCTCTGCCTGAGTTGGAGAATGGATTTTTGTCAGCTGGAATGGTGTCTGGTAGAGAAGAGCGTCTTGTCCAGTTGGTGGCTGGAGATTGGTTAAGTCAAAGGGGGTGGAGATTGGGGATGGGCTTGGGTGGGGCACTGGGAGCCAATTCAGAGATTTGAACATTCTTAGAATCATGGTCATTTAATGTTTCTCCTGAAACAACTAATATCGGTTGTTATGCACAGTTGCATGGTCAGCCAGGCTAACCTGATTTTTAAAACCAGAAAAGAGCTTAGCATTCTGTAAGACATATAGGCAATCAATGTGAATTGTGGAGACTCCGCTGGAAGAATAGGGACACCAACAAAACATGAGTGACTCCAAAAGCTCCTGGGAATTCTGATTATAACCCTCTCATTCATAAAGATGGATTTTGCCACTAGAGTTTACTTTTTTATTAAGCTGTTCTGATTCTACTTCTAACTCATTCCTTTTACTTTACTCTCTAAAATTTTAGGCGACTTATTAAGGAAAGTATGAAATTAGAAAATCAACACAGGAAACACGAAGACAGGAAAGGGAAAGAGACTATTAAGTGTAAAGTTCATTATCTTTGATCAGATCCAGTCCATTTACTAGAGACAGGCTACAAACTTGACTCTCAGCTTTATAAACAGGGAAGAATTCTAGTTAATTCAGTTGAAAGGTGTTTGGCATACACTAAGTGAATCACCATTCCTTATACAGTGAGACTCTTGTACTGAGATATTTAAAAATATCACCAGGTACTCTAATGCATTTCCTGTTGTGAAGTCCAGCAGGGATGCTGAGGTTGGAGAACCAGAGCATGATTAGGAGCCTTCCTAGGTTTTGAGCTTATCTGTTCTTGCACAAAGGAGTGATAGCATCAGTGTTTGTCCTCAAATGTCATCAACGATAGTCCCCTGCAGATTCCAGAGAACAGACTTTGTCATTCAATAGTGAACACAGCGTATTAATAGAGGGAAAAAAAGAAATGGAAGAGTGTGGCCATAGGTATGATTTCATTTCCTTATAGTTTTTCTTTATGACTTAATTGTGCTTTGATTCTTGCATAGCCAGTTATGTTACTAACTTCCAAAAGCAACTTAAAAATTGATATAGAACTTTAGCCCCAAGGGATAAAAAGTTATCAAATGCCTTTGTGACACAGCACAGAATTTGTAAGAAGATTTTAGGAGAGCACTGGATACAACATTCAAACCAAAGTTATCTTGATGGTCTTGACACTCTCTTATTTCAGATTTCTTGCCATTCATGAAGAGCCTCTCATGCAATCCAATTTACATGCTTTTCATCCTGATAAGTGTGCTCCAGTTCAACGCATTTATCAATTCATTTACCTTCATGCCTAAGTACCTGGAACAGCAATATGGAAAATCAACTGCAGAGATAGTCTTTCTCATAGGTATGAAGTCTCATGATTTCTTGAGCAGCACTTTTCCCTCCCACAAGGACATGATAAGCAGTCAGATAATGCAAGTAGGAGGCTACAATGAAATTGAAATCTGTTGGGTTACTCTTGCAAATGTCTTCTTTATAGTCTTCAGGCAAACTAAGAAAGGATAGGGAAATTAAGAGGTCAGAAATATCCTCTCTGTTCTCTCTCCAATAAGAATGGAAATCTTGGGGGATGCTCATATCATTCAATTTTCAAAAGACAATATGTTAATTCAAAGAGGAATACAGAAATAGCTCGCAGGATTCTGTTTATTACTCCCAGACTTTACTTCTGGATTTCAATTCTTGCCTTCAACATTATTACTGAATTAACCACTTTGATCCCATGGTGGTCTGTGGATTCTGTGCAGCCACACTCCCCTAAACCAGGGATCCTACTCAACTTTGGATTTTCCTGTTTTTTTTTCTCTTAATAACTGTTGATCATAGACTGATGGTATTCAGAATTCTGTGGAAATCCAAATCCCAGTTCTTACCTTCAGATGGATAAAGTTAAATCTAGTGGTATGCAGCTGCAAACAATGTTCTAAATTCTTCCAAGTCTGTGGATGATGTTGTATGAATGCAACCTAGCTGGAATTTTTTCTTCTCTTTTCTTTTTTTTTCCTTTGATTTTTATTTGGGGAAGGAACATTAGCGAGGAAGAATAATGAGCGGCATCAACAATGCATGAAATGCTCTGCATTTGGTAATCAGGGGCTCATCAGTCACCTGCTAAATCACCCTGAGCTGAGTCAAATTCCCAATACAGAGCAAAAAGAAATTTATGAAATATCTATTATCATATACGTGTGTGTGTTTGTGATACTTATATATAATCTGCTACAAATGATTCAATAAATGGCAATAGTCTTTTTTAAAGTGACATTATAAGACATTTGAAAATCTCTTTTTATTTAATATGTGAGCCTGTAGGGGTTAGGATCACTGAATATTATAGTTAAATAGTTTCTTAAGTAAGATGTGTTAGACAGATTGATAACATTTATTTTTATGCTGTCTTTTAAAAATACTATTTTGCTCATGTCCATAGGTCTTTATAACTTACCTCCAATATGTGTCGGATATTTAATTGGTGGCTTGATTATGAAGAAGTTCAAGATTACTGTCAAGAAAGCTGCATACATAGCGTTCTGCCTATCCCTGACTGAGTACCTTCTATCTTTCTTTAACTTCATGATGGCCTGTGATAATTTTCCAGTTGCCGGTTTAACCACCTCTTATGAAGGGTATGTTGTTTCCTAATGAAGATCACAATATTTTTACAATGACTAGACCATTTTCATCAAGGACTGTGTATGACAAGATCAGTTTATTACAACAAACATTGGTCTACGCTTTCTTATATTTTTCTTCCACTCGTAATTCCCATATCGGTCCACAAAAGTTGTAAGTCTATTAAAGATGACTGGGGACCACGAGTGAGTAAGTTTATGATTCTACATGCATATTCATGATCACCATGGTGATATCCTAGTCTGCTTTAAAGTGTAATAAAGAAAAATAACAAAGAGCGTAGTAGCATAAATTATCAATATATTTTAAACTCCCATCAACAGATAGTTTTGAAAGTTGACTTTTCAGGCCAGCAAGCCTGCATAGGTTTCTACAATGGGCTCAAATTTAACACAATTGAGTCTAATATACAGTAAGTCAGTTAATGAATATACATACATACATACATATATATATATATATGTCACTGGTATAGTTATATCTTGTATACTCTGTAGTCTTAGATTTTATATTATAAAATCCTTAGTAATCATATCGTATTCTTTGAATCTTTTTTTTAAAGTCAGGACTGTCTTTTTCATTTTGTACATGTAGAAATTGAAATTCAGAGGAAATTAGGGAGTTTACAGAAAATGGATTCAACAACACCAAAGTAGAATTGTCTGTCTTGACTCCATCTTCAGTCAAGCTGACTCTACACTGTGTTTGAGTGACAGGATTTAGATTCAGCCTCTAGACTTCCATATTATCCTCCTTCAATCCCAGTGTAAGTACTGGACACTGTATATCTCAGAGAAGCAAGTCTTGTTACTCCCACCACTCTGTTTTGTGGGTAAACAAAGTATTTATATTGCAGATTTTGTTCAAGTCAGTCCTCCTTCATTATTTCCTTCCCATCATGCAGATCAGTGAGAGATTACATCTTCATTTTTAGCTCTAGCAGCACAGTACTTTCCTATAGGGTAGGTACTTAAGGTTTGTTTCTGAAGTAGCTGAGAAGCAGTTATGTGACCACTGGAGCAGATAACTTGTATGCCAAAAACATAGAACAGAGATCACAGATTGATATTCGGGTTATTGATTTCTCTTTCTGGTCTGGGGAGATGAAATGTTTCTCTGTCTCTCTCTGTCTCTCTGTCTCTGTCTCTCTCTCTCTCTCTCCCTCTCTCTCTGTTTCTGTGTACTTGCTGAGATGAAGAGAGAAGAGAATATAAAGTGCTTGAGTAACTTTTCAGTATCCCTAACATTCTTTTACATAATTTCAGAATTCAGCAGCCTTTGTATGAGGATCATAAGGTGCTTGTTGACTGCAACACAAGGTGTAGTTGCTTAAATAAAACATGGGATCCAGTGTGTGGAGACAATGGCCTATCATACATGTCAGCCTGCCTTGCAGGCTGCGAGAAGTCTTTTGGAACAGGAATCAACATGGTAAACACTTTTTCAGTGTTCTGGGCTGATGTTTTGTGTGGTATATCAACATATGCTATTTAATCCTACATCTGCTGAAACGCAAAGATTAGCCTATGCTTAAATTAGATTAATATATTTTTATGAACAACTAAATTTCCTTCATATATTTATACCTGACCTTACAATTCCTAGATATTTTTTAAAACCCTGACAGAGTCTGAGAATTGTTTTGTAATTTAAAGACAGTTGAGGCCCTTATTCAAATTATTGGAGTTAAAATACCTTGAATAGGCTGTAGAGCTAGCTTAGCTATTAAGAACACTTGCTGCTCATTCAGTGGTCCTGTTTGGTTCCCATCTGGGGCAACTCACAACTCCAGCTCCTGGCAATCTGACACTCTCTTTTCCCTTCCTCAAGCACCGCATACACCTGCTTTATTACATACAGAAAAATAATCATACACATAAACATAAAAATTAAAACTTTAAAATACTCTGGAGAGAATATGCTCTTTTGTTGTAGGGTCTCATGAAGCCCAGGTCAGTCTCAAACTAGTTAGGTGGTTGAGGCAGTCAGAAAACTTACCTTTTCATATCACAAGCTTTCTTCATTTATTTATTTATTGCAGGTGTGTGTGTGTGCGTGCACACACACAGGTGTACATGCATATGGAGGTCAGAAGACAACCTCTGCTGTGGACCTTCAGGTCCCATTCACTTTGTGCTTTGGAGACAGGATCTAGCTTGCCTGGAATTTGCTGATTCATTTAGGCTGCCTGGAAAGTGAGCCCCAGAGAGCTCCAGTGTTGTGGGGCACTTCCTCTACACATGCATCTTTCACATGCTCGGGATCCACATGCCTGTGCAGGACTTTACACACTGTGCTGTCTCTGTAGTTTCACATCATTATAGCTCAGCAGAAAAAGAGTTAAGCATTTTCCTTGCCTTAAGCATGTTATAATACTTACAGAGATGGTTGGTAATCAAAATGCAATATAAACTTTGATTCTTAATCAGACCCAGAAACACAATTCAAAAAACAATCGACTTTATTGTTTAAATAACATCTTTTTCTTGGAACATGACTTTATTAGTAAGCACCTAACTATTCCATCAACCTTCTGAAACACATTTGTTTTGGCACTTAGTATTAGGGTCCAAACAAAACAAAGCAGTATTTATTTACTTTTTAAAAATTTTTGTGCAAGCTATAAATTGTTGTCTCAGTGGGTAAAGGCATTTGCCACCAAATCTTCCTATCAGAACTACATCCTGCATGGTAGGAGAGAATTTAGACCCATAATTTATCCCCTGACTTCTGCATGTATGTCATGGCATATACTTGTTCACACATAGACACACACACATGAACACAAGCACATGCACACACATATATATTTATACACACAAAATGCCAAACAAACATAAAAATAAATATAAAAATAAAATGAATATGCAAATTACTCCAAAAATTTTTAAAAATATCAACTTTTAAAATCTACCTTTTTATATTTTATAATAGAATTCCAAGATACCAAAAAAAGGGAAGTGATCTGGGAGTCCCCTCTGTGTGTTGTGATTATCATTTATGAATAAAGAAACTGCTTTGAACCTATAGCAGGGCAGAACTTAGCTAGACAGGGAAAGTTAGGCTGAATGCTGGGAGAAAGAAGGGCGGAGTCAGAGAGAAGACAGGGAGCAGTCAGAGACAGACACTGGTTTGGAACTTTAGCCGGTAAACCACAGCCACGTGGCCATACACAGATTAATAAAAGTGGGTTAAATTAATATAAGAGTTAGCCAATAAGAAGCCAGAACTAATGGGCCAAGCAGTGATTTAAATAATGCAGTTCTGTGTGATTATTTTGGGTCTAAGCTATACTGGCAGCTGGGAACCAACAAGCGGCCCTCCCTCCAACAGGGACGGGAATAACCGGGGGAAGAAACCACGATGGTATTTGTGCTCAAACTGTGGTCCTTATTCACACTAGATGAGTGCTCTTCCTATGAGCTCTGTCTTTGGCCCCAACACTCTCCATTTTGCTCTAACTGGCCTTGTAGAAAATACTGAAAGTTTATACCCAATATGTTTCTTCTTTAAATAGGACACTTTTCTTTTGACAGGTGTTTCAAAACTGCAGCTGCATTCAGTCTTCAGGAAATGCATCTGCTGTCCTCGGGCTGTGTAATAAAAGCCCTGACTGCACTATCAAGCTACAGTACTTTTTAATCGTGTCAGTATTCGGCTGTTTCATCTACTCGCTATCAGCCATACCTGGGTATATGGTTCTTCTGAGGTAATATGTGGCTCTTTCATTTAGTGTTCTATTTTTCTTAGTAGTGTGTGCATATGCAAGTTTATGATCTTTCTGTCTCTGTCTCTCACTGTGTGTGTGTGTGTGTGTGTGTGTGTGTGTGTGTGTGTGTGTGTGTGTGTGTGTCGGGGGGGTATGGGCTCCTAGGCGACAATAAGATCACAGGGAGATCAGAAGACAATGTTTGGGAATCAGTTCTCTCCATTCATCTTGTCTTTAAGGCAGATGTCTCTCATATTTCTGCTGTTGTGCTGGCTGAGTAGTCCAGCATACATGGCCTTCCAGGTCCCAAGAAATTCTATTTTCTCTTATTTTACTATGAGAATATTAGAATTACAGTTGCATGCCACTGAATTGGGATTTCTTATTTTTAGTTTTTTTTTTTTTAACACGTTTCTGAATTCTGCTGGGTATTGAACTCAGCTCATCTTTCCTTTGTGGCAAGCATCTTTACACACTGAACACCACACAAATGCTATTTAGATTTTGGTCATCTATTAAAATATTTTTCCCAAGAAAGGTTTTTGGAGTCTTGGTTCCTGGAACCTCAATGCTCTTAGATACATTTATCAAGACTTTTACACTGAGCATTGCTAAATATAACAGTAATTTAAAGTTCTCTGGAATCTTCCTTCCTGCCCTTTTCTATTTTATAACTTTATGTCTTAGCCCAAAATGAATGGATGCCTTGTCCACATTTCCATTCTACCTTGCCCCTTCCCCTCCTCCTTTTCCAAATTTCTTTCCTCTTTCACTCCTCTCCTCTCCACTCCTCCCCTCCCCACCTCTCCACTACTCTCATCTCCTCTCGTCTTCTCTCTACCCCATTCCCTCCCCTCTGCTCCCTTTCTTTCCTCTTTCCATCTTTCCTATCCCCTCTCCTTGGTTCTTCCTTTCCCTGCTTCTACCCTTCATAGACACTCTTCAGAATAAGCTAGATATTTGTCCTTCTATTTCCATTTTCCATGGTAAGATGCTATATTATTATCTCCATACAAACGGGCATGTGGTATATGCCTTGTTTGTATGTTCACGGACAGAAAAAGGCACAAAGTCTTGCTTGTTATTCTTACAAGTGAGGGAGAATTGGCTGTGACATCTTTCATTCTACCATATGCCAGGCTGATTCAGTTGATGTGACTACATGGTGTCTTCTTTCTCCTTATATCATCTGAGTTTTCCTAGTAGAGGAAGATGGTCATAGGTGAAGGGCATGCGAGCAATTATACTCTACTGTTAAAGTCTCCAAACACTCTCAAGACATGATCTCATGTTCACTGCATGTCTGTTCCTACTTCCATGCCCCACTTACATGTTCTTCACTTTTTCAGTTATCTTACCTCTGACATTGACTCTTTAACTGGGTATCAAAGATGTGGCTCATTTTTTTTTAAAGTTTTACTTATTTTTTGCTCATTGATGTTTTAATGTGTGATTTCTAAAAGCTTTCTGTGTATATGTGTTTGCATGCCATGGTATGCATATTGAAATGAGAAGACATATTGCAGGAGTTGGTTCTCTTTTCACTATATGGGTTTCAGGTGTTGAACTCAGTTTATCAAGCTTCGTGGCAATCAACTTTACCCACTGAATCATCTTTTAATTCTTTATATAATGTGTATTTCTTGATATAATGGGGTTAAGGTCTATTCTAATTAATTTTTCTCATATTTCTTTGCTCTTTCTTGCTGATTGTGATGGTTGCAATGTCAGTGATTGGTAATACAGTCCTACTGTTTGCACACTATTATTGTGTTTTCTTGAACTTCTCATGGAATCCCTTATGAAATGAAATATCAGCATTGTATTTATTTTGCTCTTCTTACTGAAAGGTGTATTTGGTCAGAAAAGACCACATTTTAAATGGATGTCCACATTCCTAATTCATAAGAATATTTTCAGACTTTATCCTGACTGCTTTATAAACCTCCCCTTTTATGTAATTCCCAAAATCACCTTATGTCTATTTTCATAGACAGTACAGGAAAGGCAAACATCTAAAGTAGTTAACTCTGGGTAACAAAGGCATTTTCTTAATGTCATAGCTTGCATGATGGAGTTTTTCTCTGTTTATCTGTGGGATCATTTTTACCATAACTTGAATTTTTATATGACACATGCTAATTTTGTATCAAAATGACAAAATGCCTGGCAAACAACTTTAGAGAAGAAAGACTTATTTGCTTTTTGGTTTCAAAGTTTTGGGTCCATTATGCTGGGGATACTATGGTGCTATCCATGGCAACCAGAAGACTATTCATCTTGGTTAGCAGTCAATGTCTAACCATTAAAGGACCCTGCCATGCTTTAGATATGTGGATGTCACTGGACAGCTTTCAGAAATCACTCTCTTCTTCCACTGTGGGTGCTTAATAATAGAGCAGCATTGTCTTCTCTTCAGGATGCAAAAGCTTAACCATTAGGATCATGAACTATGACTGTCATTGGGAAGATGCTAGGACCCTAGGGTTCGCATGATGTACTTTTATATATGTGTATGTATTCTCCAGGTGTATCAAGTCTGAAGAGAAGTCACTTGGAATTGGATTACATGCATTTTGTACAAGAATATTTGGTATGAACAATTTCCTCAACACATTAGAGCAATACCATGCTAAGTATTTAATAAACTAATTATTTTCTCTAAATAAAAAGATAGGAACTATCTTTTCAACCCATCACTCAACCCTTATCTTAGAAGGAATAACAGGGTTTCTTCTGGAATCAAGCATGAGTCACCATAATGAGAACACAGATTCAGGGCATCCAAATATCAGGTTCCAACATGGATATGGTTTCATGATGTTTGTGGCTGGAGAACAGAGAAAGTCATGAAAAGATGCTTCTCAAATATATCTGTGGGAACAGGAAGTAGGCTGGTGACAGCAAAGCAGGGAATTCTCTGCTGCAGGCTCAGATACTATCTGATGGCATCCTTAGTGTTTGGGTGAGTGGAGGATAGCATCCTGTTAAGTCAATACATCCCCGAAGGCTTCATGTAATAGATATGTGGATATATAGTCAGACACAGGGATGGGGCAATGAGTGATATATAAAAGAGAAAAAGGTAATTTGTCTCTGGATCTTCAATATTCCAACAGTCTACATCTAGAAAATCCCAACGACTTAGTGGCACCTTTAACATACATATGCCCATGTCACTGTGAAATTCAGTTCACAAGCCCTTGTGTTAAGTTATGGCAACTTGTATTTAGTCTGAGAATGAGGTAATTACAGAGATGATATATTTTTCTCTTATCTGAACTTAATTACATCTTTGATCTTTAGTGGATTCAATAATAAAGTGAGAAGCAAAATGTTTCTGTTAGTTAGGTATATAGAAAGCCAGCATAAGACATGTCAGAAGATACATGATGCTGATGGTTATTAACTCAATGGATGCTTCCTTAGCACCTTATGCATGGTTTTCATTTGCTATGATCTAGAAACTTCACACTAATTTATAATTTCTAGAAGTGTAGAACATTTGATTCATAATTTGTTATATTTTAAGAGAAAAATTGAACTACTTCCAAATAAAATAACACATCACATCCTTTTTCTTTTCTTTCTTCTTTTCAACGGACTGTTTTCCTTTCTCTCCTCATTGCAGCGGGCATTCCTGCACCTATTTACTTTGGTGCCTTGATAGACAGAACCTGTTTACACTGGGGAACTCTGAAATGTGGTGAACCAGGGGCATGCAGGATGTATGATATAAATAACTTCAGGTAAAGATAATTTTTAAATGATTTGTTTATTTCTACTTTATGTGCATTGGTGTTTTGCATACGTGTATGTCTGTGATCTGTGTGATAGGGTCAGATTCCCTGGAGAGAGAGTTACAGGCAGTTTTTAAGCTGCCATGTGAGTTCTGGGAATTGAATATGGGTTATCTGGAAGAACAACCAGTACTTTTAACTGCTGAATCATTGCTCCAGACCCAAAGGTAAAGGTAATTTTTGAGACCTACTTTTGTAGTACATAAAAGGTCCCCATTTATGGCTAACATTTTCTTGAGTGATGAGATTACATTAGGTTTCATTTTCAGAATGCACTTGGATGGTATAACTTCCTTATTTGTGTATTTTAATATTTTCCCTTTTTTCCTAAAGAACTTGATATATGTAAGTGTGAGTGGGCTTCCTAACCTAACCCTGGAAAATACATCAGAAAGGGAGCAGGGTGTCTGTGTAAAGGAAGCAGATGGAACAGTAGGGGAAGAGCTGCATCTTGAGCTGAGCCAGCATGGCAGAACACTGGAGATAAACAGACAGCAACATCTAGAGAGACCAGTGACAATGACATTGCTGGTGGAAAAGAAAGTTCTCAGTTCCTACTATCCCATATCTTAGGACAGAGAGAAAGACTCTTCCTTTTTGCAGGGGTCAGTATGACAGTCCCAACACATTCAAGTAGCAAGGATTTTGGCATTAGAGCTTCTGGAAAGTTCACAACCCTGATATACTAAGAACCCCAAACCTAGGTACTGCCTTGCAGTTTAGTAGATCATGTCGGGTACCGTAGCCAGGGACTATCTTGAGAAGGGATCTCCTACTTGAATTTGACTGATGGTCTTATCGCTGAGAACCCATAGATGCTATATTGTACTTAGTGATTGACTGCCTCATGAACAAAACATGGCTCAGTAGAGGGATTGTCGTACAAGCCAGCTAAGAGTGTCACAAAGAGGGGGGATGTTACTACACATAAAAATAACTGAGGCCATTACCCTCAAGAACCAGCAGACCAGGGAGCCTGCCCTCTGAGATCTGGGTGCATCCAGTCGTGTGCTTTCATGCTGCTGCGTAGACTAAAAGCAGTTCCTGCATGGGTCCCACCACTCGCAGTGCTACACAGACACCAGTCGCTAACAGTATCGTGGGGGTAACTGTGGGTTCACTGCTGTTCCAAGCCCAGGCGTCTTGCTAGGCTGATCTTGAACCAGATTCTGAATGTTACATTGCTGGCCCCCAAGGGCAACAGGCCCAAGAAAGCTCACAGAGAAACTTTGTTTGTTACAGACTGCACTGTTCTCGTTCTTGCTTCTAAAAACTCATTGGTCAAAAGGAATTTAGGCCTTTTCTAGGTAGGACCCAGTTCTGCTCTGATTCTGTGTGAGGAGGATACTGAAAAGTCCTGGGAAAGAAAAGTGCTGGCCATTGCCCTGTTACCACGTGTGTATGGCTGGGGGTGGCTGCTCTCCCATTCTCAGACTGGTATAACTATAGTACCAGTGTGGAAGAAGTCAGCTACTTCTGTCTGTGTATCTGTGTGGGTTAAAGTTCCAGTTGTCTTGACATACCCAGAATGCTGGACTTTAACCCAGAGCTTGAGCAAATTCGCCTCTTCTTCCTCAAATTGATTTTGTCAGGGTGTTTTTATAACAGTGGCAGAAAAATAAACTAAGATATTTGTTTTTCTATTATACATTTAGAAAAATTTCAGTTGTACTTCTAGACTGTTGTATCTGAAGTCTTAAGCATCTCTCTCCACATATATATTTGTACTTTACCACTGTAGAAGTAGCCATGATAGATTTCTCTACGTGTATGTAGTTCAGGATTTCCTGCCTAAGGAATGGTGCCACTCACTGCGTGGTAGGTCTTCTCACCTCAATTAATGTAATCAAAGTGTCTCCCACAGAAACGTTCACAGGCTAACATAATCCACACAGGCCTTCGGTGAATCTTCCTTCCCACAAGATTCTAGATTGCATGAAGTTGACAGCCTATCGACCACACCAGATTTTCCTATAAGTATGTTGAGAATATGAAGGGATTTTTCACAATTATTTAAAAATGTACGTATGTCAAAATACCTATTTTGCAAACACATTAAGTCCAGAAACCTAAAGGAATATTTTATCAAATTTACAAAGAAGAAATTCTTATAAGAGTATAGAAGTTATTCTCAGAAATAGTAAAAGGTAAAACTATCCAATTCATTTTAGGAAGCTTCTACAGTCCTCATGCTTTAACTGGACAAGTTCAGTAAATGAAAAGAATTTAGTCCTAAAGAGATGGCTCAGGGGTTAAGAGTACATATTGCTTGCTCTTGCAGAGGACATGGGTCCAGTTCTCATAACCCACATTGGACAGACTACAACTTCCTGTTACTCCAGCTCTCAGGTATCCAGGACTCATGGATACACACAGAGACCCAGACAGTCAAATGTAGTAAAGAGCTACAAAATAAATTGATTACACAAGCAAAATTATGCATGGAAATTAACAAATTGAATCAACTAATATATAAAAATGAGTAATATGACTTAGTTTAGATACAGAAGGATTTTAACATCACAAAAATTTTTCAGTGAAGCACAGCAGACAAATGCTGAGTGGGAAGAAAATCTTGAAAAGTGACTTTGTGCTGTTTTTATACATGTGTAATTAAAACTGGAACAAACAAAATAGAAAAGAATAATACCCTTAACCAGATATAGGGCTTTTTTTGGCTCAGTATTTAACAGACTAGATGACAATGGCAGAATAATGGCCCAGTGTGAGGTAAGGGAAGAGGAGGATTGGTGGCAGAGTATAAGGAGGCTGGTCGTATTGCATGCTGTGTTAGGGACTTCATCCTCAGCTAAACCTACTGAAAACATTCTCATAGCACATGCAGAGATGTATTTCTATAATGATCCTAAGTCCAGTCAAGCTGACAATGGAAACTAGCTATTACCAAACTGAAAAAATATGTTCAAACTTTCATGTTGGAAATTTTTGACATTTTTAGCAGAAAGAATTAACAGCTCGGTGAAGTAGAGTATATAAATTACATGGGCAAAATAATCACCTGATTTTTTTGAAGAATAAATGATCTGTGAGAATATACAGAATTGGCTTTCATTGAACATGTTAAGATTTAATACAGATCAGTTGTTTTCAACAGGCGCATTTACCTTGGGTTGCCAGCAGCTCTAAGAGGATCAAGTTTCATCCCAGGAATCGTCATTCTAATACTTATGAGGAAGGTCCAACTCCCTGGGGAAATTGACTTTTCAGAGACTGAACATTCAGAGATGAAGCTCACAGAAAAGAAAGGCGAGCACAAGAATGTGCACGGAAGTCCTGAGGTTGAGAACGACAAAGACCTGAAAACAAAGCTGTAATAAGGTTTCCACTGACCTGCCCAAATCCAGGGAGAGAGCGTGCATCTGGTTCTTTTGAACCTATAGTACCTCATGAGAGGTGTACTATAGGGACTCGTCTTATCCTGAAGAACCTCAAAAATTCTTTTGCTCATGATGAAAATATTTACTGATAGCATTTTCATAACATTGGGGTAGTACTTAAGATTTTCTCAGTGAAGACTATGGTGACCCCACACTGAACTTTAAAGCTGCCTTTATTTTCAAACAGCATTTTCTCTTTTAACTCAATCAAAGCAAGTGTGTGTTTCTCACATATCTGCAAATAGCATTAAAACTTGCCCATTCCTGAGACACTATTCAATTTTATTGAATTTATGCTGTAATGTTGGAGCTATTTAGAACTGAAAATTTATATGTTGGTTGTGTTACATTGAAATAATTTGTTCAAATGTATCTTTTCTATGTGCAAGATGTATGAATACCTTTTTATCTATTTAGAGTTAAAAACTGTCTTTTTGTATCCTAGACACAATGCTTCCAAAATTAGACTTCTCATTAATGTGTGGTCTGTTGTTTTCACCCCTTTTTTCATTACTCATATCACACATTTGATCATTTTGTTTAGAGCACTGAAATATTTAATCATGTTATTTAAAATCATGTAGCAAAGATGCCTGGAATTTTCTCCCAGCTATTAAAAATGGTAATGAAACTCTTTCTTAAAAGCAAATATTTGAGAAAGCCAGTCCTTTGAGACTGTATGGCTTTGGCACAATGCTTGCCTAGAATGTGGGAGACCCTGGGTTCAACAACAAGGTAAACTACTGATAATACAATAAAATATAAAATAAAGTAAAAACCAAGGCTGGATGCTGTGTCAGATGTTATCAAAAGATTACTTTCAAATATTCAAATATTTCAAATATTCTATGACCCAGTGTTCATTTTACTCATGTGTCCTCAGAGCACATAGGAATTAATATTCAAAATTACCTTAGAGTAAAACCTTTAAAGCAGAGCCAGCTGGGTGGCTCAGTGGGAAGTGATGTTTGTCTCAAAGTCTGACAAGGTGGTTTTGATCCCTGGGACCGAGAGAGAATCATTTCTTGCAAGCTGTCCTATGCCCTCTTACTTCCCCACCCACAAACAAATAAATGAAAACACATAGAAAGTTTTTAAGTGTGAGTATTGCTATAAATCTTGGAATTAATAAAACTCAAAATACACTTTAAAACCAAAGTGAAATTATGGTGGTTTGATTGAGAACTGTCCCTTGTGGACTCGGGCATTTGTGCATTTGGTTTGCAGTTGATAACTCTGCTTGGGGAGGAGTAGGGGTTCATCCTTAATGGAGGAAGTGAATCACTGGGCTGGGTATTGAGAGTTAAAAGCCGCTCTTACCACCAGTTCACTCTCTGTTTAGTGCTTAGGTTGAGGATGTGACACCTCAGCTTCCTGCCCCAGTCACCATGCCTGGTGCTTGCTGTCCTGCCTCTTTGCCTTGAGGAACTCCTGTCCCTCTGGAATCATAAGCAAAAATAACCTCTTTTTTTCTTTCAGTTGCTTTGTGGAGTTTTATCACCACAGTGAAAAGCAACTGATACAGAAAAAAGTTTGTTGGGTGCCTGATAAAGAATGAAGAGATTTTAAGGAACAACAAGTCTGTGTGTTGTTTTAGAGCTGCGGCTCAAGACAGTAGCATGGACAGGACTATTTGTTTCTCTCCCTCACTTTTCTTCCTTTGGTAAAGGATGCCAGTAATGTAAAAATGGCATAAATCCCTAAAGATGGGGATGTTGAAGAAAGGAAAGGTAAGGAGTGGAGGGGCCAATATACAATGTTTATTATGTATAATAAATTGAGAATCTCTACCGTCCAGAGCAGATTGAAGGAAGGTACAACCTTAAAAGCTCTTTTGTGAAGCCAGAATGTTCATGGGAGAGTTACACTGACAACGTTTTGTTACTTGAACTGAGGCCAATCCACTTCCATGAAAGAAGAGCTTATTTTGCTCCAGAGGTCTCAGTCCATGATCACTTGGCCCTGCTGCTTTAGGCCTAGGTCTATGCAATGCATCGGGGTGAAACTCATAGGAAGGAAGTTGCTGACCTCACATTGACGGTGATTCAGATACACACACACACACACACACACACACACACACACACACACACACACACAGAGGGGGAGGAGGAGAGAAGAGAAGAGAGAGGTAAGAGAGAGAGGAGAGAAAAGAGAAAGAAAAGAAGAGAGAGAGTGGAGAGAGAAGAGAAAGAGAAAGAGAAGAGAGAGAGAGAGGAGAGAGAGAGAGAGAGAGAGAAGCGTCCAGTGACCTAGTATCTAGTTGCCATATCTTAATGCTTCCACCACCTTTCAACAACTCCTTGCTGAAGACTTTATCACATGGGCCATTGAGGGAATTGTCCAAACCCAAACAACAGCAAAGAGAAGGAAGGCAACTTAACTGAAGGGCTTTCTCCAATTATCTTCATGTTATGATTTCCTGAAATAGATAGTGTGTCCTACAAAAGGAAAGGATCAGGGCCATGGATGAGATGGCTCAGCAGTCAAGAGCATGTACTGCTCTTGCACAGGATCTGAGTTTGGTTCTCATGACCCTCAACCACCTATGATCCCAGTTCTGCAGGTTCTGATGACTGTGATCTTCCTGGCACCTCTGCTCACATACTCATACACAGTGCTTGGAACTCATCCTTTATGAAGGTTGTAGTCTCTTCTTCTAAAAGCACAGTTCGTCCTTGACACTTAGTGGGGAAAGCAATCCAGAAAACATAGGCAGTGGAATCCTTGGGGATTTCTTAATGGTGTCTATGAGACCCAGGTAGATAGGTTGTTATTCTGAGCTTTATTCTCATTAGAGTACAGCAGACAGAAATGCAGGAGAGGAGCGAGGGAAGAGGCAGGGAAACCTGCAGGTGAATCAGTTTACCATTTAGCATTGTTGTGTATCTAAACCTAATAGAATGCATAATAGTTTCTCACTGATTAAGCTGTAATTTCACTATAATAAAAATTTCAAGAAGTTAAAATGTCAACATTAAAAAACACAGAATCTGGAAAAAGTAAGGGAAAAGGAAGGGAGAGGCAATCATTGTGCCATGTATGCCATGGTGTGAAATTGAACACGATAGGTTAATATTTTATGATGTGTGTTTGTTAGAATGGTTGAATTCACTACCAGAGGGAGCAAAGAGTTATTTTTAAGCTCACAAATGATCATCTCAGGGACAATGTGAGGGTCTGCTGGAAGAACAAAGGCCTAGGCATTTGCCTTTCAATTTAATTTCTTTTATGAGTTTTCATTTTATCTCATACACATAAAATATGATTAAACTAATTTTCTTCAAGAAAAATGTATGAATAAAAGCAAGATTAATAATAAAATGTGTCCTTTACATAAAAGGAAGGAACTGAGTCCATCATTTATTGATTTTTTTTATATCTAAATGATCGCAAAAGTGGGTCAGGGAAAATATCCCATTTCTGAAGATATAGCATTTTGATTCCTAGAAGAGCTAATTTGAGTGAAAATGTATAATTTATCATTAGCACCTGGAAAGGCACACTTTTTTTTCAAAATGCATGTTTTTAAGACTCAGGAGAAAGCATTCATGGTGGTGAATATGTATAATAACTTTGATAAGTTTACCACACTGCCCACACTATTGCAGTAGAAAGTAGCAGATGCATTTTCATGATGATGCTTATTCTTCAGGCTTCACTCTCCTTTGCCTCATTTTTCATTTATCATATATGCAGAGACCTCATTAATAAATGATGTGTATTAAAAGTATGAGGAACAAAGTTTTGTCCTTTATACCTAGGTGACAGGGATACATCTTTGAACAAAAAGTTAAAAGTTAAAACCAGACCACTTCCTTCTTTTAAAAAATTACCTAGAGATCTACGCCCCTAATACAAACGCACCCACATATGTTAAAAACATTACTAGAACTCAAAGCATACATCAAACCCCACACTCTAATAGTGGGAGATTTCAACACTCCTCTCTCACCAATGGACAGGCCAACCAGACAGAAACTTAACAGAGAAATAAGAGAAATAACAGATGTAATGAACCAAATGGACTTAACAGACATCTATAGAACATTCCACCCACACAGAAAAGAATATACCTTCTTCTCAGCATCTCATGGAACCTTCTCAAAAATTGATCACACAATTGGTAACAAAGCAAACATCCATAGATACAAAGAAATTGTAATAACAACCTGTGTACTATCAGATCACCATGGAATAAAGTTAGAATTCAACAACAATTTTAACCCCAGAAAGCCTACAAACTCATGGAAACTGAACAGTCAACTACTGAACCACCCCGGGTCAAGGAAGAAATAAAGAAATAAATTAAACTCTTCCTTAATTCAATGAGAATAAAGACACAACATACCCAAACCTATAGGACACTATGAAAGCAGTGTTAAGTGGAAAATTCATAGCACTAAGTGCCCACATAAAGAAAATGGAGAAAGCGCACACTAGAGACTTAACAGCACACCTGAAAGCTCTAGAAGAAAAAAGAAGCAGATTCACCCAGGAGGAGTAGAAGACTGGAAATAATCAAACTGAGGGTTGAAATTAACAAAATAGAAGCACAGAAAACAATCCAAAGTATCAATGAAACAAAAAGCTGGTTCATGGAGATAATCAACAAGATTGACAAACCCCTATCAGAGAGAGAACACGCAAATTAATAAGATCAGAAATGAAATGGGGGACATAACCACAGACACAGAGGAAATTCAGAGAATCATTAGATCTTACTACAAAAGCCTTTATGCCACAAAATTGAAATATGTGAAAGAAATGGACATTTTTTTAGAAAAGTACCATATTCCAAAATTAAATCAAGACCAGGTGAACAATTTAAATAGATCTGTAAGTCGTGAGGAATTAGAAGCTGTCATCAGAAATCTCCCTGCCAAAAAACGCCCTGGGCCAGATGGTTTCAATGCAGAATTCTACCAGAATTTCCAAGAAGAGCTAATACCTATACTCCTTAATGTATTTCACAATATAGAAACAGAAGAGTCATTGCCAAACTCCTTTTATGAAGCTACAGTTACGCTGATACCAAAACCACACAAAGTCTTAACCAAGAAAGAGAATTACAGACCAATCTCACTCATGAACGTCGATGCAAAAATTCTCAATAAAATACTGGCAAACCGAATCCAAGAACATATCCAAAACATTATCAATTATGATCAAGTAGGCTTCATCCCAGAGAGGCAGGGCTGGTTCAACATATGAAAATCTATCAATGTAATCCATCATATAAATAAACTGAAGGAAAAAAAAACATATGATCATTTCATTAGATGCTGAAAAAGCATTTGACAAAATTCGACACCCCTTTATGATAAAGGTCTTGGAGATATTAGGGATACAAGGTTCATTCCTAAATATAATAAAAACAATATACAGCAAGCTGACAGCTAACATTAAACTAAATGAGGAGAAACTCAAAGCCATTCCACTAAAATCAGGAACAAGTCAAGGATGTCCACTCTCTCCATACCTCTTCAATATAGTGCTTGAAGTTCTGGCAATAGCAATAAGACAGCATAAGGAGATCAGGAGGATTCAAATTGGAAAGGAAGAAGTAAAACTTTCGTTATATGCAGATGATATGATAGTGTACATAAGCGACCCCAAAAACTCTACCAAAGAACTCCTACAGCTGATAAACACCTTTCGTAATGTGGCAGGATACAAGATCAACTCCAAAAAGTAACACCAAAAGCCCCCCAAAAACTAAAAAACAAAAAACAGTTGCCCTCCTATACACAAATAAGCAGAGAGGGAAATTGGAGCAACATCACCTTTCATGATAGCCACAAACAGCATAAAGAATCTTGTAACTATAACCAAGGAAGTGAAAGATCTATTTGACAAGAACCTTAAGTCTTTGAAGAAAGAAGTTGAAGAGGATACCAGAAAATGGAAGGATCTCCCATGCTGTTGGATTTGGAGGATCAATATAGTAAAAATGACAATTCTACCAAAAGCAAGCTATAGATTCAATGCAATTCCCATCAAAATCTCAACAAAATTCTTCACAGACCTTGAGAGAACAATAATCAACTTTATATGGAAAAACAAAAAACCTAAGATAGCCAAAATAATCCTATACAATAAAAGTACTTCCAGAGGCATTACCATTCTTGACTTCAAACTGTATTACAGAGCTACAGTAATGAAAACAGCTTGGTATTGACATAAAAACAGAGATGTTGACCAATGTAATCGAATTGAAGACCTGGATATTAGTCCACAAACCTATAAACACCTGATTTTCAAAAAGGAGCTAAAATTATACAATGGAAAAAAGAAAGCATTTTTAATAAATGGTGCTGGCATAACTGGATGTCAGCCTTTAGAAGATTGAAAATAGATCCACATCTATCACCATGCACAAAACTCAAGTCCAGATGGGTTAAAGACCTCAATACAAATTTGTCCACACTGAACCTGATAGAAGAGAAAGTGGGAAGTAGTCTGAAACACATGGGCACAAGAGACCACTTCCTATGTATAACCCCTGTAGCACAGTCAATAAGAGCAACAATGAATAAATGGGATCTCCTGAAACTGAGAAGCTTCTGTAATGCAAAGGACACTGTCATTAAGACAAACAGGCAACCTACTGAATGGGAGAAAATTTTCACCAATCCCGCATCAGACAAAGGTCTGATCTCCAAAATATATTAAGAACTCAAGAAATTAGACATTAAAACTCTAATTAACCCAATTAAAAATGGGGTACTGAACCGAACAGAGAATTCTCAACAGAAGAAGTTCAAAAGGCCAAAAGACACTTTAGGTCATGCTCAACCTCCTTAGTGATCAGAGAAATGCAAATCAACACAACTTTGAGGTACTATCTTACACCTGTCAGAATAGCTACAATCAAAAACACCAATGATAGCCTATGCTGGGGAGGATGTGGAGTGAGGGGAACACTCATCCATTGTTGGTAGGAATGCAAACTTGTGCAACCACTTTGCAAATCAGTGTGGTGGTTTCTCAGGAAACTGGGAGTCAACCTACCTCAGGACCCAGCAATTCCACTCTTGGGAATATACCCAAGAGTTGC